TAATTTATGCCTGCGCGTAAGGTTCGGCTTAACTTAGGCTTAGGATTAGGCTTAGGCTTAGCTTTACGCTTAGAGTTAGCTTTAGACTTAGACTTAGCTTCATGCTTACGCCTAGGCGTAGACTTAGGCTTAGGCTTAGGCTGAGGCTTAGCTTTAAACCATTTCCACATTTAAATTGCCTTTGCATCATCCCGTTTTTGGACGAACACCTCCCCCTCACCCTCATGTTCCCCCTCTTGAACATAGGCCGCTGTCAAATCACTCATTCCAAGGGCCCGTCATTATCCGTCGGCACACGAATTGCCCATTTCTCATTTTCTTACCCCCACGCGCCCTCCCACATCCCCTTCTTCTGCTTCCAGCCATTCCGTAGCGCTCCGGAAATTTCGGATTAGCTGCGAGGAATGGGTTTTTTGCGCTTTAGCTACGGTACTTTGAAAAATCCAAAACCACAAAATACGGAGACTACAATTGCCATAACTACCCATTTCACAGAAAAATCATGTAAATTAAGCATATTACAGAAAATTAAAGTTTATCTTTTGGATTTCACAAAAATTTTGACGGGTCTAACGAAAATGAAGAGAGCACTATCTTGAGAATTTTTTGATTTACGAAAATATCGTTTAAACCGGCAGTTTCAATCCTGTTTTCTCTTCAAAATCGGCAATAATTGCGAAAACATCGTTGAAAACGCGCGGCAAAATTTGCAAAAAAGTTAGTTTTTTAGCGATAACTTTTTATCTTGCATTATTACGATTTCCTAATTCGGTACCAAACAGTTTTTATGGATTCGCATCGCTGATAGAAATCTAGAGTCGATCTGATAGAAAATGACCAAATTCCGAAGGAGTATAGGCGTGATCCACATCTTCAGGAAGTCTACCCCTTCACCTCAACGCTCCAGAAGCCTTTCCTGAATTCCAGAAGTGGGGGTGAAGGCTCCGTTTTTTTCCGGGTGACTAGCCCCAGGTGAAAGTGGCCCGTGTGTATGTGTGGCTGGAGGGGATGGATAAGAGAGGGATCTCTAAGCAAAAAGGCGGGTTGGATATCTTGCTGTGGGTTGTGCGTACAAATTCGATCTTCACCCAGGAGGGGTGGCTGCGGGCCATATCCCTTCCTCCCCCCTCGAGACATCTCTTCTTCGTCTGTTTATCTCAGATCTCCATCCCTTTCACATTTCTATCTCATCCCCCCCCCCACATCCTGTATCCGGTCGGTCGGCGTTCCTGAAGTTTTTTTTTTGCGAAAAATTGCTACTTTTTAGGATCGAGCTATTTTTTTGCGAAGACTTTACTATGTACAGAAATGTCTTTATTTCCTTTTCCGTCTCTGCATTTGCGTACAAACTTCCATGATGACGTTCCGCGTCTAGAACTTCATAGAAACCTTTTTGGATATAGAAGCAACGTCATTAAGTGCAGAATGAAGCACCGGCGCGCGAAATAGCAGGTTTTGAATAAATTAAAAAAAAACTAAAAAATATTGTGTTTTACTGTAGCTATTTTTTGGATTATAATGTTTTGGACCGCTATTAAAAAGCTTAGTATATTTTTTGAAGCTTTTCTGGCATGTTCAAACAATCGAAAAAAGTGACTGTTCCAAAAACTAGCTTTTTGGCCCCAGTTTTAAAAGTTATCTTTGTTTTTGCCATAACTTTTTGTTATATTACAGTATTTTGAGCTGTCATCAAAAGGCTTAGTAACATTTTTGGTGCTCTATCGAATGGCGTCGAGAAAATCCCGAAAAAATAGCGAAAATATCGAAAATTTTGAGTCCTCGGGCTGGGAGATACAGTAGCCGCAGGAAAAATTGCCATTTTCGCGATTATACTAAGTTTCTGCCGCTTTGAAAAACTTAATAACCGTCTCACGTGTCTAGGGAACCCGTAGCACTCGTTGTTTTCAGGTAAAAGGCCATGGCAAATAGCACTCAATGGGGATCACGTTGGGTTGAGTGCGGTCGGGCAGCTAGCCAGTAGGTGTCCATAGAACAAGTACGGAATGTGAAATCCAGTTATCTATATTTTGTCGGCCATGCCACTTCCTAATGCGTCTAGAACAGAAATGTGAAAACATGTTGAACTTCCTGCTTGGGCATTATGGCTGAGGGGGAGGGGAGCTGCTTGAGGCGAGTTGTGGGGGGACACAATGCGGATGCATTTCTGAGGGATTTCTGAGGGGGAGGAACTTGGGTTTTCGGAGGGGAGGAACGTTGTTCATTTTACGTTCGGGTTGATGGGTTGGGTTTGAATTTTAGCTAGTAGATGATGTTTTTTAGAGCGGTTGATTAGGGCTGAGCATCGGTTTTGGCCTATTGCTCAGGCTCAAATAGCTTTTGCAGCAGCAAAAACTAATAATGGGCCTCATTTTTTTATATATTGTCTCTATTTTTATTAATGTATGTTTCATACCGAATCTTTTTGCTGGGCTGTTAGCGCGGGGAGGGCGGGATTTTTAACGGAAGAAATGACATTTTTTTCAAGTACGGCCCTATACTTTTTGGTCAAAAATGCACGAAAATAAGCAAAAAAAGATAAAAGTTCCATTTTTTGCTTTTTATAAATATTTTACATACCCTTTTGCCAATAAAAACTAACAATACCACGATGAAAATCCAGTATATATTAAAAAAGGCCTAGGCGGAAAAAAAATTATTTTCCCGCGCATCTCCCCCCGCTAACAGTCCAGTACCAGTCTAATTCTCCCTAAAAACTGCACCCGATTCCACTTCACTCCCCACCGCTTTTGTACCCAAATACACCCCACACTTACAGGCCTCCACCTCATTTCCCCACCACCCGCCCAACAAATATGAAATATGAAGCGCGACACCTGGTACAGCCCCTTCCAGTCCCCCTCCTTTCCCCGCTTCTCCAAAATCGTGTGAATGGGTCTCAGGGCCCCCCAAAGAAGAACGGCCACAAAATTGGCCCTTTGACCAATTGAGGCCCATGAGGCCCAGCCAAACCGCCACGCATTTTTCAACCCACCCCGAGATGGGCTTTGCCTCCCAACCCATCGTCTCCGCTTTTTTTTTTGGGGGTGGGATTTTGTCGGCTGTAGAGGGGGATTCTCGATTTCAATTAACTCGGAGATATCAGGTTTGGAAAACAGCTTTGCGGGAGCTTAGGCTGAAGCCTGAAAATGGCTTGGGTTAGGCTTAGGCTTAGCCTTAGATTTAAGTTAGGCTTAGGCTTCGGCTTAGGATTAGACTGCTCCAGGTGGCTCTGGATGTCTCATGGTTTTTCTCAGCTTTCCATCGCCTTTTCGTATTTCACCAAATCCTGATACACCATTTAATCCTAATGATCTACCATTTTTTATCTCAAAATTCCACCGGAAGTGGGAATTTTGCCACGAACCCAGATTTCAAACGAACGCCCCCACCCCACAACTAATTACTTCTCCTCCAGCGATCGACATACACATATTTATTCGGCGCCCAAAATTAGGCTTTCCTGGGGTTTTATGGGTTTCGTTGGGCAAAGGGGGCAAGGGTTTTGTGGTATGCGGGCCTAAGGCCGGCCGGGTAAAAGGCACTTTTCCCGCAGACCGATTAATGAGCTATGGGGGGAGATCGGGCCGCTAGATAGCCGCCAGCCTGCCACCGAGGCTTTTACGAGTTTTCTTTGAATTTCAATGCGAGCACATTTTATTTGGAACCGCTCTAAAAGCTTTTTTTATAGTTTAAACATGTTTTTCTCGCGCTAGAAAAATCTCATAATATATTTTTCGGACCTCTATCGAATTGTTTATTCAATATATAGAGAATATTGAAATGTCGAAAAACGGTTCCCCTTCATCGTTTTCAAACATAGGGCTGCTAAAATTAATTTTTTTTGTATAGTTTTTGACGCCCTATCAAATGGCATTCGCGAAATCACACAGCACTTTAAAATATTAGCAATAATTTTTTAACACACCCGTTCTTTATCCTATGTGTTTTCCCACCCGTTACCCGTTAAGTGTAGCTTCTAGCATGGTATCTATAGAAATCCATGCCTTGCCTATCCCTTTAAACTACATTTTTATGCAACCCTATAACCTCCAGACATCCTAGACATCGCAGGTCACAGAAATCGCACGAATCCCAGGAAATTGGTTTCTTTTTAATAATTATCCGTCTACCACCTCTATACAACCTCAAAAACCCTTTGAAAACTAGAATATGCCCCCAATTTCCGGTCCCTGCACACAGCAATCAGATGACGGAGACTCCACCCTTCGAATTCGAACTTTTTTTCTGCTCCCCGCCAGCGGCGTTCGAATTACACCGGGCGCGCAATTTCCGGCTATTTGCCGTCGTTCAGGGGATGGGGGGAAGCCGCCTTTTAGCAAAGCACACTAGGCGGTCGACTCCTTTGTGGCGGAGGTGAGACTCGGGTGAAATTCTGATGAGCCTGAAACGGAGGGTGAGGAGGGGGTGAGGAGGGCCATTCTCGACGAAACCGAGGCTCTTTCAGAGGGCACTTGGCTCTATCCAAGGGCAGAAGAAGGAGGAGGAGGAGGGGTAGCAGGAGATGGGCACAAGTGCTTATTTTTTCCGGTCGCTTCTTCGGGAATTTCAAATGAATCCGGAACTGGATATTAGCTTTTTGAAGCTTTTGTTTTTGGCTTATCGTACCGTAATCTTTTTGTAATTTGAATGTTGAAATTCGATCTAGCGAAATTTTTTTGTCGAGATTTTTTTTTCAAAATTATGTCTTGTCGAAATTTCACTTTGCCGAATTTCGTTTTTTTAAATTTAAAATTAGCCAGATACGCCTTTGATATTTTTAAGTCTCGGCAAATTAAAATTTCGACAAAATTTCATTTAGGAACTATTTAACTTTTAATAAGTTTAGAAAAATTATATTTCGGTATTCAAATTTTGAGATTTTAAATCCATTTCTCATTGTTCTTTGCACTCATTTTTCTCATTCCAGTATTTTTCCAAGTTTTTAAACGTAACAATAATTTCAGCTGCCGGGCTACCGAGCGCCAATGCGATGATCGGGAATGCGTCGGTGGTCGGGGGCACTGATCGTCTTCCTCTACATTTATTCACTGCTAGCACTTCCGCATCCGCAGGTAGAGGCTGACTGACGAATTTCGATACCTTTACTTCCAGGACCCCTCGAGCCAATACCGCAACAATCTGATCGCCGAGCACTCACGAAAGACATTTCGCGAAACAGACGCCGAAGAGACGATTCAATCGATTCTCGACGATATTCCGGAAGCGACTGCCGTATTTTATAGTCAGAAATTAAAAAAGTTGTATTTAGGATACATTTTCGACGCGACAACAGCCAATCACGGAGCCGTTGAAGCATTTTGCGAACGACTTTGCAGAGAGCGCGCGAGAAAATTTAGAAAAGGGGTGGGTGTAGTATGTGCTTAAGTCTAATCCTAAGCCTAAGCCTAAGCCTAAGCCTTAGCTTAAGTCTAAGCCTATGCCTAAACCTAACAAAGACCTAACAAACTCCCATTTTTCAGGGAAGATGCGAACATTTTCAAAAAGCTCTGGTACGATCCGGACTACAAAGTCCATTCTCTATGTGAGCCGCACAGTTCTGGCAACCAGAACGAGCAGCTTGTTTGGTAGGCGGTGTTCATCTACTACTAGTTCATCTACCCGATTTTTAGGACAGAATCTGGGGATCGGCTGCTCAAAGTCATTGGAAACGGGGTTGTCAAGGATGGGTACAATATGTTTATGGCGCCGAATCAAGCGAGGGGTTAGTTTCTCTAATGTTTTTATAACGTTTTTCATAGTTTTTGATTGCTAGAAAGTTACAAAATATTTTAAAGATTCTTGAAAATTCCGGATTTTGACGTTTTTGGTCATTTTTCAAACATTTTCGACGAAAATGTTTGGGGTTTTATGAGCTTTTTCTATCGAAAAATTTGTAAAATGTTATAAAATTGTTTTTATTTTGTTATAGGACCGTACGGAATTACCCCCCCCCCCGCTAACAGCAAAGTACCAAAATCTTTTCAGGAAAACGTACAGATGTCTACGTAGCGATGTATATCGAATCCATGTCGTCATTTAAGGCTCAGACGATGGTAAATACCAATTAATGCTAATTTTTAATTGTTTTTAGGATTTCGAAATGGACATGTACCTGGCGATGGGCTGGTTTGACCGTAGACTCGCCCATAATTGTACGCATCCGATTCTGGTGACGAGCAAGGTTGGAAAAAGACAAAGGAAAGAAAAAAAGTTTTTAAGGTGATCGCTGACCGCATCTGGCACCCAGATCTCTATTTTGTCAACTCAAAATTTGCATATCTACAGGAGGTAAGGGCATTTTTGGTACTGGGCTATTAGCGCGTGAGAAACTAATTTTTCCCAGTAACCTTGTACGGTCCTAAATTGAAATTTATTAAATTAAATTAAAAAATGTTAAAATTATTTTTGTAACTTTTTAGCAATTATACCTACTAAAAAATTACAAAAATATACCATTTAATGAAGTTTCAGGAATTTTATAGCAAAACAAATATAAAAGTATCCATGAATTACCTTGCCATACCCCTTTAAACGTCCTTAAAACCCTCGTTTTTCCAGGTGACAACCCCCAACTTCATGGTGGTCGTCTACCCAGACGGGTTGGTGTTCAAATCGGTGCGCGTGGATGTGACCCTGTCGTGTATGCTGGAGCTACGACTCTTTCCAATGGACTTCCAGGAATGCCCGATTACCATACAAAGCTGTATGCTTTTTTGGAAACTAAAAATCCCCTTTTAGATGCCTTCATCGAAAACATTGTCAAACTAAATTGGCATATTGATCGACCGCATTTTCCGATCGGGTCTAATCAGGCGATAAAGGTATATATTTAATTGGTAATGGTTGCTTAACGGGGGGGGGCGACAAAATTTAACTTACATTAAGGAAAAATGGAGGAAAAACTTACCAATTAACTGTCTCCGGTGGTACTTTGGAAAAAGGCGATCATTTTATAAATAAGTTTGTTTTTCCGTGTTTCCCCCCCCCCGTTAAGCAGCCTTTACCTATTTAATCCACTTCTCAAAACCATATATATTTTAGCTAAACGATATGGTAATTGTTCGGACAAGATTCGAAGACTGTTCCGGGGCATACCCGATGTTTCGCGGCAGCTGTAAGTCTATTCATTTTCCTCCTTACTAATTTTCTTTAAAACCCCTTTATATGGCATTCACGCTTGTCTCAACCCAAATCCTTACTTGAAAACGATCATTTTCTACCCTCCCCACCCGCATAGCTCCTAATTTTTGTGTAGCTGGCGACTCACGGCGGCTTTTTGGTGAAAAATGTGTCTATTCCTTTGTTTTTTTGATGCTGGCGTTGAGCTTTAGCTTTCAAGTCTTACCCACCCTCTTCTGTATGGGAAGTGTCATTGTGAAAAATGGTAATTTCAAAAGGCCAAATCTCCTACAGTAAATTGGCGGATTTTGGATATAGTTTGCTATCTTTTTAGAGAAATCTAAAGAATCTTTGAATATTATCTAGGTTTTGTATGTGGCCTCAAAAAAAACATGACCGGGAAATCAGCTTTTGTATATTTCGACTAGTGTCAATATTCATAAGGCAGACATTATGAATTTCGTAATCATGATTTTTGACATTCCAAAAACAACCCGTTTTAACGCGCTTTCAGAACACCATTTTTCACAAATACAATTTCCTTATAATCCTTTTCAAACTACCCTCCGTCTGTCCTACAAAATCGACTTACTGAATTAATCGTAAGGCTTGGGAGCGTGACTTCACAGCCCCTTTAAAAAATGTTTGTCTTAAGTTCCAGTAATCTTCATAACAGCTAGGTTTTCAAAAAAACTTACAGTAATCCGGAGTCGCTCCCCAAGATTAGATTTATATTCTTAGACTCGAAATCTGGTCGCTTTTTAGGCAAGAACGAGAGCTGCTACGGTAATTCCAATGCACTACCTGGCTGCCCAACCCAAGCCTCACAATCGGTTCTAATTTTTTTTGGGTGCCCAAAAACCGGAAACATTACAATGAATATATTTTTCGATGAGATGTATATCATTTGGGTTTCCATCGTTGGCTGCCGTCTTGCACCCCCTAATCGACCGTCTTTTTCAACCGAATAACCATGCCAAACCCTTTTTTCCTTTGTGTCGCGTGCCGCATTCCCCATCCCTCGGTTCCTTTTTTGGCTGGTCTTACGGTGGTTTTTGAGGAGAGGGGTATCGATACTTTTCAGCCAACTGGTCGTGTATCCAGGCGTTCATCGTGATGAAACGGCTCGTGTTGTTTCATATTATCCAGACGTATATTCCGACGGGTGAGGATTTGAAAGCGATAAAGATTGCCTGACCTTGGATTTGCCATAAAGTTTTGCCGCCAAACACAACGCGTAAGCCGCTCGACTTTTCCTAGCGTAATCGTTCCAAACCGCGCGTCGCGTATCGCGGCTGTGGCAAAAATTCGCAACAAACCTCTAGAAAGGGACTATGAATTTTGCCGCGACGCAACCGGAACGCGCCCCTTTACGCAAGAAAATTGGCACTCGCGTTGAGTGTCGCGGTGTAAAAACCGATCCAAACCGCGCGCTGCGTCTCGCGGCTGCGGCAAAATTCGTAATAAAATGGATAGCAACGCAATATAAAACTATGTATTTTGCCGCGACATAATCGCAACGCGTCCCCTGTACGCAATTCGAAAATTGGCACGCGCGTTGCGAGTCGCGGCGGTGTAAAAAATCAAAATAAATCGATAACAATAGCAAGTTAAGAACATCAGTCTTGCCGCGACGCAACCGCAAAGCATATTCCTTTGCACCTCTCGCGGATTCAAAACAGCGAGCGCGTTGAATATTAGCGCCTGCGCAAAGTCCACAGTCATCGCCTGCTAGGTCCTTCAAATGAGGTCATCTTGAAAATCCCATTTTTC